AAGCACCTCGAGGAACTTAGGACAGGTGGCAGGAAGTCGCTGAGCGATTTGAGGGAGTAACTCCCTTATTTTAGAAAGACAATGGTACCAGCAGTGGAAAACGGTAGGCAGGGGTGGTCTGGAGAAGGGGAAGCCAGTTAGGAGGCCAGTCTAGGTGAGGGACAGTGATGACCTGGGCAGAGGCCACAGCAATGGATGGAGCGGAGGAAGGGACCTGGTGACGGGCCGGTGGCCTGGGCAGGAAGACGCAGGTCTGCAGGGACAGAGCCCTTTTAGAAAGGGGTTTCTCCCAGGCAGGAAAGTGTCCAGGTTGAAGGAGGCCCACAGACCTTGGCCAGGACAGCTCCTGTGACCGCAGGAGGCAGGTCTCCCAGGGACTTCTGTCATAGCCAAACTCTGTCACTGCCACCTCCGCTGCATTTGGTTGGTGAGGGCTGTAGCTAATACCTGTTCCGGCTTCTATGGGCACCTCAATACCCTCTGGCCTGTAACAGGGGCCAGACCGTTCCTCTACGCTGCCTCTAACTCACTAGAAAGCAGAGAGGTTAAAACACGGCCGTGAGTCGTCTTTCAGAGCAGTTGTTCTCAACCAGGGCCATTTGGCAATGTCTGTAGACACTGATTGTTACAATCACAACTCGAGGGGGTGGCAAAGAGGGCTGCCACTGGCCTCTAGAGTACAGACCAGGGTGGCTCCTGAATATCATACAATGACAGGACAGCCACCACCAGCAAAGGCTATCCGGCCAAATACGAGTATGTCAGTGGTGCCCAGGCTGAGAACCCGATTCAGACATGTGTCCTTCAGTGTTAGGCTAGAACCCTCCACGCATCAGGAAGTCACACAAAGCCCGTACTCCCCATGGGACTAGCTCACAACTCCCGCGGGCCACGCTGCTTACTTGGTCATGACCATGTAGGGGCCACTGCAGAAAGAGAAGGCAGGCTCATCATCAGCTTGAATTATTTCCTTTTCTCCAATGATCGGAAGAGATCCTAAATAGGTCACCCGTGTCCTCGCTGAAAGACAAAACTAAAAGCAAAACACAGCTTCAAATTGTGGGGAGGAAAGAGAAAAAGTAAAATTCATCCAGAATCTTATCAGCCAGATACTGATGGCTGCTATTTACCAACTTGCCGAACCCCCCTAGGGACGTTATCTGTCATTTATACTATCTTTAATCTTTCTAGAAACCCTGCAAAGTTCTAATATCCTTCCCCTTTTACTAGTGGGGAAACTGAGGCTCATGGAAAGAGCTCAGACACTTGCCTGAAGCGTTGAGCAGGGTCTCCCACAGAACCCAGGCCTGTGTGCAGTCACCATTCCTCCTCCCCCACACCCACCCCAGGCTACCTTGGCACAACCAACAGACTCAGGACTGGGCTGAGTGTCAGCAAACATTACCCAATCACCCAGCAACATTTCCTAACTCTCTTTCTCCCATGGGCAGAACCAATGATCCAAAAGATACTCAAAACATTTCTGTTTAAATGGCAATTCCTTAAAAATAAATAAATAAATAAATAAATAAATAAATAAATAAAATGTCAATTCCTTAAAGGCATGCCAACAACACTCATAAACCACAAGTAAGGCTCACGGGGTTGGCGCAGCTCTCTGCCTCTACAGGGAGACCATGTTTGGTGCCTTTACTGGGAATGTAAAGGATAATTTTCTAAACTCCCGAAATCTAGCTCAAGGAATCTCTGTAGAGTTTCCACCTTTTTTTTCAATAAGGAAAGCAACAGGAAAAGGCACTTGTCCTGCAAAAGTGGTAAAGAAGAAAAAGAAAACCCACTTTGGAGACGATGAGACAGAGGAGCTGGACAACGCCGCGAGACATAGGTCCAGAAGGAGGGCCAGGTGACTCTCCAGTTGGTCCTGCAAACACTGGCCGTCAGAGGCCACCTCTTACCTTCCCAAAGCCAAAGCTGTGGATGTTTTGGGCAGAAATGACTCCAGTTTTACGCGGTCGTTTAGAAGGGCCATTCGGGCTTCTAGAAATATTTAAAAGAGGAAATAAATAAGGATTAATCACCCAGATCCAGAGGAACAACGATGAACCAAGTTTTCAGAATGTGTAGTGGCTTTTGACTTCACTACTTAACTTGTTATCATGGAACTGCAGGTGATATGAGCCACCTCTCAGAGGGCACCTGTGATTCTCACCTCCTAGAAATCATGCCCTTGTGCAGCCCCTCCCAGGACAGAAAGAGCTGGCCTGGCAACCCAACAGCATATTGCAGAAATGACAGTGGTGAGATTTCCAAGGCTAAATCCACCAGGGCTTCTGCCCTGATCTTTCTCAGGTCACTTGCTCTGGATGAGGCACCAACACGGAAGCCCGACACCGAGCCAGGAGTGTGCCGTGCCGCCTTGGAGCTGGATCCTGCAGCCCCAGTCATGACAGCCCAGCAGACATCTCTACTGAAACTTCTGGAGAAACCCTGAACTACAACCACCCAGCTAAGCCATTCCCTGATTCCCGACCAACAGAAACTATGTGAGCTACAAATGATTACTACTGTTTGAAACTGCTAAGTTGGGGGGTGGGGGGATTCATTATGGAGCAATAACGAGTACGGATGGTCAAAGCTGGAAAGAATCATAAAGCTTCTCTTGTCCACCTTTCTCATGTTACAGATGGGAAAGTGGAGCCTGGGGTCACAGAGCAGCAGCAGGGACTAAGCCTGGGCCCTAGGTGGTCTACCAAGATCCTCCTGGTTGGCCAGGCGGTGTGAGCACTGGAACAGGCAGGGGCAAAGAGGCCAGATGAGGAAAGTGGGCGTTTATCCTGAGAGTCATGGGAAAGACCCTAAGAAGGTTTTTTGTACAAAGTGAGGGGCACAACCCAACTTCCATTTTTAATAGGTAATTCTGGATTCTGGGTAAAGAACCAAGACCGGCAAGAGAAGCAGCCGGGGGAGCCGTTAGGCATAACTGCTCAAGGGCATCTCTGACTCATCTCGCCCAAGAAGCCAGCAGCGTCCTGGTCATCAGAGGAGAACCAGGACTCCATGTGCACAGAAGGACAGGATGGGGGAGCCCTCCAGAGTGTGACGATTACAAAGACAGCCATTAGAGAAAACCAAAATGAAAAGGATTCTCTGACTACAAACCCTAAGGCAATAAAGTCCGAAGAATTTAAAATAACTGAGCCTGCGGCCCGTCTCCTGCAGCTGCCCACCCCAAGTTAGCAGCAAGTCTCTCACGCCAGCTCAAAATAGCCTGAGGAACTGTAAATTAAGTATTTGTGGTCATTTGCAACCTTAGTAATAAAGAAATATGCTTTCCATAGTTCAAGATATCAAAACAACAACAACTCCATCCAGAGGTTCTGAGAAAGGCTTCCTGCTAAGCTGCCCAGACCTGAAGAGTTCCTTCTCTGCTGAGCACAGGGCATCTCCACTGGAGCCCAGAACTCATTGCCCTGGACATTCCTGGCCGGGGAATGGCCATCCTTCTCCAGTGGCCACACCTCCTTCTGAGCTCATCCCTGTGGGTGAGCCAGAGGCTGGAGGGACTTATGTGGCCCACGCTACGGGGGCCTGGGAGGAGGCTGGGGCGATGCAGGATATCCCACTCGGCTCGAGGCAGCACTCACCCCTGCATGAGGCCCCCGAACCGGGGCAGGCTGCAGATGAGCCGCTCAGTGGAGTCAACCTTCTTCAGGAGGTCACAGGAGAAGTCCTGGACGATGGCCTGCATGTGTGAGGCGCAGCGATGCATGAACTCCACCATCTGCAACACCACAGAGAGGCTCAGTGCCGCACAGCAAGGGGCTCCCGCCCTTCAGAGGAATTGTGAGGTGGTCTGAGGTGAATGGTCTAGGAGCCGGGAGCCCCCCAACAGGAAAGGGAGGGTCTAAGTCAGCGGTTCTCCACCTGTGGGTCTCGACCCCTTTGGCGGTCGAACAACCCGTTCACAGGGGTCGCCTAAGACCATCCTGCGTATCAGATATTTACATTACGATTCATAACAGTAGCAACATTACAGTTATGAAGTAGCAACGAAAATAATTTTATGGTTGGGTCACAACATGAGGAACTGTATTTAAAGGGCCAGAAGGTTGAGAACCACTGGTGATTTTCCAAAGGTATGAAATGTTTTCAGGGAGATGTTGGCAATAATTTCCTCCAAGTCCCTCCTCCTTCAACAGATAAACTAGGCAGGAAGAGTCAAGTTATTTGTCCAAGGTCCAACAGCTAATGAGCTGGAGAACCAGAGGAAGGGCAGTGAGGGGAGAAAACTGTCCCCCTCTCCCCTCCCCTTCTTGTGCTGTCCCAGGGCCAGCCGCTAGCCCTGGGCTCCTGGCTCCCAGCCCAGTGCTCGGCCTTGAGGGTGGCTGCAGAGGGGGCCCACCCTTACCATAGTGCTGCACTCCTTCCCGGCTGTCAGGGCCCAGGCCTGCGGGCTTTGACCCTTCTCGTCGTGGAGTCGAAGGTCACCCCCTGCGTCCAACACTTTGCTGAGGATCCACTGATTGCCTGAAAAGGCTGCTGCGTGCACAGGGGTGCTCCCATCAAAGCAGCGGCTGGAGGGGGATACAAGGAGTGTCCATGGCAACACCCCTCCCTTCCACAGAGCAGGGGGGATTCAATGGGTGACAGGAGGCTTCCTTTCTACAGAGGCCACCTTTGGCGATGAGGATTATAGTCATGCCATTTGGAAGGTGTCCGGTCTGTGCCAAAATGAGCTTTACACACACACCCTTTCTCCATCCTTACCTCTACCCTTCAAGGCACTATCACTTCCCGAGAATAAGTGAGGAACCAAAAGGGCAGAACTGAGGGCCACAGCCCGGTATGGGTGTGGTTCCAAATTGGTGTTCTTTCCCCCTCTAATCCCTGACACTGGCTGCCCTGAAAACAATTCATGTTTGCTGAGTCCTGGGGTCTCTCTCATGTGAGAATGTCTCTAGCTCCCAAGTCCTATGGCAGAGGCCCACAGACCTTGGCATGAGCAATCTGGGCAAGAAGGATCTAGAAGTCAGAAAAATTTAACCAAAGCCAATAAACTATCTTGGCCCTTATTGTGTCCAAGATATAGTGGGATGTGACCTGTAGCTGTGATTCCTAACTTGGCTGCAGGACAGAATCACCCGGAGAGCTTTCTCTCTTTAACTGAAAACAAAAACAGCCGACCCGGTGGGGCTCGGTGGTTGAGTGACCCATGAACCAGAAGGTTGTGGTTCGATTCCCGGTCAGGCACATGCCCGAGCTGCAGGCTTGATCCCCAGTAGGGGGTGTGCAGGAGGCAGCTGGTTGATGATTCTTCTCATCATTGATGTTTCTATCTCTCCCTTCCTCTCTGAAATCAATAAAAACATTTTTTTTTAAAGAAAAACACAAATGGGGAAAGAGAAGTCAAATAAGGAGGAAGAAGAGATAAGAAAAATAAGAACATTCTTCCAACTCCAGACCCCACAGATCTCTTGCCCAGAGGCAATTACTATATAAGTGTATCCTCCCAGAAATTTCCTGTGCATATACAGGTAGGAATAAGAATGTGTTATATATGCCCTGACCGGTTTGGCTCGGTGGCTAGAGCGGCGGCCTGTGGACTGAGGGGTCCCGGGGTCGATTCCGGTCAAGGGCATGTGCCTTGGTTGTGGGCACATCCCCAGTGGGGGGTGTGCAAGAGGCAGCTGATCGATGTTTCTCTCTCATGGATGTTTCTAGCTCTCTGCCCCTCTCCCTTCCTCTCTGTGAAAAGTCAATAAAGTATATTTTTTTTTTACAAAAAAAAGAATGTGTTATATAAACTGTTCTGGACTCAATATATATGTTGAAGAAATTTCCATTTGAGACCATACAGGATAGGGAAAAAGTAGCTTTGCAGTTGTTCCTATGGAAAATAAAACAACAATTAATGAACAATAATATAAGAATAAACTATTTCGCGTACTCACAAATGTAAACCTACTTTTTTTTTAAACTGTTTTTTGTTTTTATTGATTTTAGAGAGAGAGGAAGGGAGCAGGAGAAAGAAACATCGACATCAACATTGATCGGCTGCCTCCTGCACGCCCCCCACTGGGGATCATCGATCCCGCAACTCGGGCATGTGCCCTGACCGGGAATCGAACCATGACCTCCTGGTTCATAGGTTGATGCTCAACTACAGAGCCACACTGGCTGGGCAGGAATGTATATTTTTTACAAGTTCCCCAGGTGACACCAACATGCTGGCCTGTCCCCAGGCACCCGGGAACCACTGGATGGCTCACGTTGAGCCAGCTTCTACTGCTGGGTTTGACAAGCAGTGCGGTACACTGGACTTTGAAAACTGTAATATCCTCTCTGCTCTCAAAACACATTTGTATAATGTTTTACAATCTTCTAATCATTCTTCCCATAAACAGTAAGGAGGGATGAGGGAAGAGAGAGAGGACATTATTTTTCATTTCTCATGAATGCTAAAAAAGAAAGGAATAATGTTTTTTATACCAAAATAAACCTTTCACTTACAATTTCTGGGTATCAGTTCCCTAATCTGGAATATTAAAGGTTTTTCTTCTTCTTTTTTTATTTATTTAATTGAAAGAGAGAGAGAGAGAGAGAGAGAGAGAGAGAGAGAGAAGCACCATGGACTTGTTGTTCCACTTATATTCATTGGTTGATTCTTGTATGTGTGTCCTGACTGATACAGGATCTGCAATCCTGGCACATCGGGATGCTGCTCCAACCAACTGACCCACCGGGTCAGGGCTGGAAAACTAGAGTTGAATGATTTAATCTTTAAAGAATCCAGTACCCTGGCTGGATAGCTGAGTTGGTTAGAGCATCATCCTGATATGCAAAGGTTGCAGGTTCGATCTCCCCAGTCAGGGCACATACAAGAATCAACCAGTGAAGGCATAAGTAAGTGGAACAATAAACCGATGTTTCTCTCCCTCGCCCCTTCCTCTCTCTCTAAAATCAATAATCAATTTTTAAAAAGAAGAAAAGAGCAATAAACCTCTACAAAACAGATGTAAATGCAAATGACTGGAAAATGTTGCATTTTGGGTTGTGGAACTGCAGGGAGTCCCAGATGGCCTCCCTAGAGAGCTGTTTTCTGCAAACATCAGGTGAGTGAGTCCTTTATTTCTGACCTTTGAAATTAAACAATACACTAGAGACAGGAGAGTGGTGTATGTTAGTCTAGAGAAATTCTGGATGGAAACAAAGCAAAAATTTTCTTTGTAATATCTCTTGGTTACAGAATTCTCATACTGATTGCTTTTTGAGGGGTTTTTTTTCTTTTTCCAAAGTTTTCTCCCACTAAGTAAGCAATCTTATAACAGAAAAGAGAACAACAACAGAAAAGTAAAACTTTCTGACATCAATATGGCTTGTTCAATACCTTGAACAGGACCTCTTTACATAATATGGGCAAACTACTATATGACTTTTATGATTGGTTCACATTCTGGCAGAACTATGAAAATCAGATGGAATCATGTAAGCATTAAAAACCTGTTTGTTTCTACCCAGTGTGAACTGTAAAAATACATGCTGTCTCATCTCTGTCGAGGAGGTAGTTGTAAAGATCTAGAGAGCTTAGTGTCTGGAACGGCTCTGGGAAAATCAAAAGTGCTAAGTAAAGAAAAGGGATGTTCACTGTAAAGCTGATTCATTACATTGTGTTGCTGTTCCATATTAAAATTTAGGCCAACTATTAAATCGCAGATTCTTTTAAACCACAACTACAAGAGCCAGGCAAAAATCATCCTGATAAAGTGATGCCAAGTATATTAATTGGTAAAAACCGCTTAAATAAATCATACAAATTATAACCTGGGGTAAAATATGAAAAGCATGCTGTTAATGACTAACTAGTTAATAAATGAATGAATGACTAGTAAGTTTCACTTATTTCATAGGGCCAAGTAAAACTGCTTTTATTAACATTGAAGGTATGTTTCAACATACACATACAACTGTATGTCATTGACATAAGTTAGTAAAAGTTATTTTAATATCTTGTCAGATTAGTTTCCAAATGCCTAACTCATCTTAAAAGCATACACTACTATTTATTTTCTAGATAATAGAAAATTATCTACTTACTGATTTGGATCTGATCCATAATCCACCAGAATATCAACTAGTTTTGTAAGGCCTAATAATGATGCAAGGAAAAGCGGCGTCTGGCCCAAGGAGTTGACTGCATCAACATAAATTCCTGCAAAGCAAATACCAGGATCAATGTAAAGAACAGGACATTTTCTGAGATAAAACTAGGAAAATTCATATTAAGGGGCAAAAAATCAAAATTCCCTTATACAGCACTTATATGTATTATTACTGCAAACTGTTTCTCAAAAAAGAAAAGCTCTATGTGAACTGGTTTGACTCAGCGGATAGAGCATCAGCCTGCAGACTGAAGGGTCCCAGGTTCGATTCCAGACAAGAGCACATGCTTGGGTTTCTCTCATCATTGACGTTTCTATCTCTCTCTCCCTCTCTGAAATAAATAAAAAAATATTTTTTAAAAAACAAAAAATGTCATTTACTGCCTGGCCAATCTATGAAACAGAAGGGCATCCCCAGTGAGCAGGAGGCAGCTGATCAACGATTCCCTCTCATCATTGATGTTTCTCTCTCTCTCTCTCTGAAATCAATTTTAAAAAAACACGTTGCCCTAACCGGTTTGGCTCAGTGGACAGAGCGTCGGCCTGCGGACTGAAGGGTCCCAGGTTCGATTCTGGCCAGGGGCATGTACCTTGGTTGCGGGCACATCCCCAGTTTGGGGTGTGCAGGAGGCAGCTGATCGATGTTTCTCTCTCATTGATGTTTCTAACTCTCTATCCCTCTCCCTTCCTCTCTGTAAAAAAATCAATAAAATATATTTTTAAAAAATTAAAAAATATATAAAAACACGTTATTTACTCAGGAAGTTGCACTGAAGTGTTTTACCACTTCCTGTGTGAAAAAAAAATTTTTTTAACCTACAGAGGGCATGAGGAATGGGGTGGTGGTAATAATGATACTGTGTTAGGGTGAGGACAGTAATATAAAATAATTACTTGAAACAGTAAATTTATATTTATATCCCACTAAAATAGAAACTTAATTTGATGGGGAAAGAGGTCAATGCCCAAATTTTATTTTTAATGTAAAGATGTGTTTTATTTCTACTGGGGAAAAGAGGAGGATAAATAGAACTGTTTTCCAATTTGCTCTCCAGTGTGTACGCACATACCCACACACATACAAAAACATACACAAATGTACACCAAAAATACCCCAAACAAAAAAAAACACCCCAAGAATCAAAAATCAAAACACCCTCCAAGTGCACCAATACTTCTTATTCTGACCAAAAGAAAAGATACTAGGAGGAAGTGCAAAATCAAATGATGGAAATGCTGAACAAACAGCATTGTTAATATACAAAATATCTGTGTTACTGAACTAGTAACAGTTGATGTTTTTTGTGTCGGTAAAACTTTGGAGCCACATAGCTGATCCATGCCAGCTTCCAAAAACCAGGAAAGATTTTAGTTAGCTTCATTGTTTGATGCGTCATCAAAATTTTCTACAAGATGTGGAACATCATCATCTTCCTCTTCAATGTCTTCTGGTTTGGGGGCTTTGCTATCCAACACTCGCCCAGGGAATTGTTCTGCTAAGTTCCTAAAGCTTGTTAAGCTGTCAGCACCAAGCTGACATGATATTCCAGGAAGCTTTTCTGTGAATGGTTTGGCTTCTGCATGAGCGGTTACTGTAAAGGTGTTAGCAGAAAGGAAAGCTTGGATTTTGGGATTATTGAAATAAGTAACTACCCCATCATCTTCAGCCATGTTTCCCTCTTCTATACCAACTCTATTACTCACAGCCAGTCTTTGTCATCAGCTATATCTTTACTATGGACCATCCTCTTTCTTGGAGCTGGACCTTAGATGCCCACCCGGGCCTAATCCACAAGGTTAAGAAACCTTTCCTGAAACATGCTGTTTAAAATAAGAAAATAACTCCACACTAGCGAACAGCAAAATCGGCATAACTACCCACACGCTCAAGCTAGTTAAAGGCCAATTATACCTTTATTTGTACCTTAAAGAAACCACTCAGACTGCGTCCTCTCCCTCTTGCCCTCCCAAGGGAAGACAAGAACGATCATCAATGGCAAATGGCAGTTGCAGAAGCAACACCAAGAGCCGGCTTCACGCTCAGGAGAGAACGCTGCGCCTCCTCCTCGTGGTTTCGGGTGCTCTACACGATCAGAGAAACTTCTCTAGTAACGAACTATAGAAATGATCCCTGAAAGTATAGTCTTAACGCACCACCGCGGCCGTTTCCGGAGTGAACGAAAGCCACACATATTACGATGATGGCGAGTTTTTCTAACGTGGTGCTATTTTACCCATAAATATCTTGCCATGTATTCTCTCAAAAATTTTTCATTCAGAAAGCTCGACAAAGCGTTTTAAATCCTAGCGTTTCCGAAAACAGTTAATTACAGTTCACTGTAATTAACATGCAATTGCTAAACAGCCAATCACACGCCAGTTATTACCAACCCGCCCCGCTTCCCCCGCGGTTCCGCAGCGCCGTTTACCACGTAAACGCTGACTACACCCGAGTGCGCGGGCTCGGGCGCGGGCGCGGGCGCGTCGGGGGACAAGCCTCAGTTTAGACCTCTGCGTGGAAGCGGAGACCTTTCACAAGAAAAACATAAAAGCGGAAGATAAAAGCGATGACCCAAAGCAGAACTCTGACATTTGCAAAGCACTTCCTATTTTTTTATTTTGTCCTGTGATCCAAGTACCAGACATATAAATGTTTTCCAAATCAAGTGATCATTATGTACATAGAAATTGTAAATTGTGTTTAAACAAGCAGGACAATACATCTGTTTAAAGAAAAAGGAAAAACCCCACCCCGGCCAGTGTGGCTGAGCGGTTGAACGTGGACCTATGAACCACGAGTTCACCACTGGGGTTTCCCGCTCCATCCCCAGCTGGGGGCCTGGGAGAGGCAACCAATCCACGGTTCTCTCTCATCACTGATGTTTCTATCTCTCTCTCACTCTCCCTTCCTCTCTGAAACAAATAAAAAACATTCTTTTAAAAAAAGAAGAGGCCAGCTACATAATTTTAAAAAACCTTCCCTTTCTCTTTCCCCTAAGAAAGTACATCCCAACCCAAAAATTAACCTTTCTTTTCTTTCACTAATAACTCCTTTGACCCACCCTACTTCCAGTAAAAACTTTCTATTTTGTACTCCTCAGAGAATGGGCTGATGCCTAATTCATGAATCACTTAATAAAGCTGATTAGGTCTTTAGATATACTTGTTCGAATTTTGTGGGGTTTTTTGTTGTTGCTAATCCTCAGGATATTTTCTTTTCCGTTGATGTTTAGAAGGAGGATGGGGGAGGGAGAGAGAGGTGGATATGAGGCATTGATTGGTTGCCTCCCGCAGGCACCCGGTTAAGGCAGGAGAGTCAAACCTGAACCCAGGTATGGGCCCTTGACCAGGAATCAGACCCGCCCCCCTTCAGTGCTCAGGTTGACACTTTTACCACTGAGCAAATCTGGCAAGAGATGAATTTTGTTTTTAAACAAATCATTCCCCTACTTAAAGCTTCCTAGCTTCCCAGCTCTTGGGCCTAAAATGAAACATATCTTGCCGGCTTGGTGTGGCTCAGTGGTTGAGCGTCTACTCCTGAACTAGGAGGTCACAAGCCCAGGTTTCCCCTCTCCCTTCCTCTCTGAAATCAATAAAAACATATTAAAAATAAATGAATAAAGCCTATCTAAATAGCTTATAAAGCCCTGTATATCTGTCTCCCTACCAGACCGGCTCCCTAATCTGTATCTAGGGTAGGGACTTTTCTCATTTGCTGGAGGCAATCCATCCATGTTTCGCTGTCTTTCTTCCCCAATCCCTTCAATAAAAACATATCCTTGGACGATTAAAAAACAAAACAAAGATAAACAAACCAAAACTCCAGATGCAGAAAATTAACAAAGGATTGTGCCAAAAAGATATGGATATTAAATGCTAAGTAATGGTTGAAAAAAATAACACAGTGTGAGCATCTACCTATGAACCCAGTGTGGGGGTGCTAACCAATGATTTTCTCTCATCTTCGATGTTCCTCTATCTTTCTCTCCCTAAAATCAATAAAAGCTCGTCTTAAATAAATAAACAAACATAAATAAATAAACAAATAGACATGATAAAACCTAGGTTACACACTTTGACTCGGTTGGAGCCTCATCCCATGCACTAGAACACAATGCTAATTTTAGAATGCCTCACCAGGGGATGGTACATACAAGAATCAACCAAAGGAGTAACCAGACACTCAGGGACATTACCAACTATACTGACATTTTTATATATATATATAAATATATATATATTGTTTTTTTACAGAGAAAGGGAGAGGGATAGAGAGTTAGAAACATCCATCAGCTGCCTCCTGCACACCTCCCACTGGGGATGTGCCCGCAACCAAGGTATATGCCCTTAACCCGAAACCTGGGACCTTTCAGTCCGCAGGCCGACGCTCCATCCACTGAGCCAAACTGGTTAGAACAACTATACTGACATTTAAACAGGAAAAAATCAGAAGCCACTCAGACTGCGTTCTCTCCCTCTTACTCTCCATTAAGGAGAGAAGAACGATCATCAATGGCAAGTGGCAGTTGCAGAAGCACAACTATACTGACATTTAAACAGGAAGAATCAGAAGCCACTCAGACTGCGTCCTCTCCCTCTTGCCCTCCCAAAGGAAGACAAGAACGATCATCAATGGCAAGTGGCAGTTGCAGAAGCAACACCAAGAGCCGGCTTCACGCTCAGGAGAGAACGCTGCGCCTCCTCCTCGTGGTTTCGGGTGCTCTACACGATCAGAGAAACTTCTCTAGTAACGAACTATAGAAATGATCCCTGAAAGTATAGTCTTAACTTTGGGCTCCCAGCTTCTGGTGGGTCTGTGGCAGCTACACACATTTTAATCATGGTGACATTATTTAGGTAAATTTAACCTAACAAATTATGTGCTATTTAATATATTATAAAAATGGAAATGGAAAAGTTTAAAACATCATTTTCACTTGTAAATTCACCAGAAACACTTCAAAACAACAATATTAACATAGGGCTTATTAGCATAGAGCTTTCTACTAGCAGCCAATCACATGTTGCAGGCAACTTACTCCAACCCAGAGCGAGATGCTATTATCCTACCCACCACACCAGGCACCACCTGGGTCCAGGGGGTCAGGCCATCTCACTACAGGTTAAGGAAATGCTGCTCTTGCTATTCGTCAGGGTGAACTGCCTGCTACAGAAGTACACCAACTTGGGGAGATCAGGTTTCCTTTGCCTTGAAACAGGAGGGTTACTGGATAGCTTCAGGAGAGGGGCTGGTCAACAGAAAAACCAAGACCATGCCAGGGTTAGAGGGTTAGAACTTTCTGCTCCACACTGCCCCTCACCTCAAACCCCGCCCCCACCTTTGGCAGGGAAGAGGGACTGGGGATTGAGTGGAATCACCAGTGGCCAGTGATTTAATCAACCCTGCTTAGGCAATGCAACCTCCATAAAAGCCCCTAAGCAATGAGGCTCAGAGGGCTTCCAGACTGGTGAACACATGAAGCACTGAGGTGGTGGTGTATCCGAATAGGACATGGAGACTTGTATCCTTTATAATAAACCAGTAATGGTAAGTAAAATGTCTCCTTGAATTCTGTGAGTCACTCTAGCAAATGACTGAACCTGGGTAAGGTTAAGAGCAGATTAGATACGACAGAGGAAGAGTCATCAAATTGACAATAGAAGAAAATTCTTAACAGAGCTTTGAGGATTGTGGGACAATACCCAAAAGTCTGACATAAACGTAAGTGGATTTCCAGAAGGTGGGGAGAGAATGGAACAGAAAGAGTGTCTGAAGAAATAATGACAGAAAGGTTCCCAAATTTGTAAAAGATATTAATTTGCATATTCAAGGTAAGAAACCCACGTAGGAAAAATACAAAGAAAATCACCCCTAGACTGCCATAATCAAACCACTTAATTTCTTTAAAGTATATATGGTTTTTCAAATCGAAAATTATAAAATTATGGGGTTCAAAATTCCTACAAATATAACACGTATGGAATCTTTATAATAAAGGATGGGGGAAGGGGAGAAATGAGCCTGTATGGTTGACATTTGTATTCTGTGAAGTGGTACAATATTATGTAGACTGTGAAAAATTAAAGATACATTATTATACTCACTAGAGTAACCACTAAAAATATGATACAGAGAAGTATAACTAAAAAGCCAGGATCAATAGTTCCCTAGCATAAGACCTCTATTAAACAATATGACTGCATTGGTAGGGAACATCTCATCTGATTTAACTTCTGATTTCCCCAAGAATTCAGTTTTTAGGAATGACCTGTTTTTCCTTCCAACGCGATCAGAAATGTGGACCCAGTTGCATCTGCCATTTCAACACAGTGCCTACCTTTCTTAAGAATCTTCTTCGCTTTTAGGTAACTCCCTTCTCTAACATGTTCATGAAGCTGAGCTTCCCAGGAGTCACCTTTGAAGGAACCGAGCCGAACGGGACAGGGAACTGGAAGCTGAACTGCCCGAGACATCCTGTTTCAAAAGAAAGGAACATGCTTATTCTAACTGAATCAGAAATGCAAGCAAGCAACTTGGATTCTTTCACCATTTTTTTAATTTAAAAAAATTTTACACACATTTCTTTAACTTTTTTCCATTTTCATTTATAATGAACAGGATTAGGGAAACGATTACTGAAATTCTACAAGATTAACCTTTATTCTCAATGTTACTGTTGAAATTAAAGAACTGAGTATATTTGTTACTAATTCTCAGGACTGAAATAGTAATGACTACTAGGAAGCAAAATTAGAAGTAAACATGTTAGTGTCTGGCCGGTGCGCTCAGTGGTTGAGCCTCAACCTTTGAACCAGGAGATCATTGTTCAATTTCCGGTCAGGACACTTGCCTGAGTTACAAGCTCAATTCCCAGTAGGGAGGAGGGGGTGCAGGAGGCAGCGGATCAATGATTCTCTCTCATCTCTCCCTCTCCCTTCCTCTCTCTGAAATCAATAAAAACATATATATATATATGGCACACACACACATATAAACATGTTTGTTGTATCATGATAACTAGGAGAGTATTAACTCTGAAAGATTAGTACACAAATGCAGTCATTATGTAAATATTTAGACAGTATAACATAGTGGGTTGGGTACACAGTTGACTCTGAAGCTCTGATGCTCCCTAACTATGTGCCCTTGAAAAAATTATTTAACCTTGATAGTCCTCAATTTTTCCTCTCTAAATGGGGATAATAATAGTCTGAGGGTTGCCAAGATGTTTAAATGAGCTAATATGTGTAAAAGAGCTTAGAGCTGTGTCTGGCACCAAGTAAACTGTGTGGTTACTGGTTACTGTATATGCTATGAACCATGCTGAGAAATTTTAACTTTCTACATGTGGTATCCACACCTGACCATCATGCAATCATGTGTTTGTGCGACACCTATCATGTGTCTCAAGTGTGACAGTTGCTATGTAAGACATCTAAAAGTGGATTGCTGCCATCGCAAGGGAGAGACACAGAGGGTGTGATATGAGGTGAAGTAAAAGGAAAAGCCATGAAGGCTGACACATTTGGTAGATCTTCACTAGCCAGGAGGCTTTAGGTTACTGTGAAGTAACTCTTATTAATTTATCCACTAGCAAAAATGTGGAAAATGCTAATATTTTGGGTGTTCTCAGAGTGTGACTGTATTTGCAGGTAAGGTCTTTAAAGAGGTGGTTAAGTAAAAATGAAGCTGTTAGAATGGGGTCATAATCCAACATGGCTGGTGTCCTTACAAGAAGAGGAAGAGACTTCATCTTGAGGGTCGAGTGCAAAGGAACCACCGTGTGAAAAAGGCAGAAAGGGGGCAGCCATCTGCAAGCAAAGGAGAGAAGCCCCGAAGAACCCAACCTGCTGGCACCTTGATTGGACTTCCAGACTCCAGAGCTGTAAGAAAACTAATTTCTGTAGTTTAAACCACGCCATTCTGTAGTTTTTTATGGCAGCTCTAGCAAACGAATACACTGAAAATAGCAAGTTATGTCATGTGTCTTCTTGAAAGGGGAGTCTACGGTAACCATCTCCTCCACTCCGTTCAGCTGGGTTGCCACCGGCACTGAGGGCCTGTTCATGTGGTGTTTGTTCTTCCCCATACTCCTGACATTGGGTTGCTGAAAGAAGTCCCCACTATCTTCTTACAACTGGACAAACCCAACTTGTATTTTCAGGCTCTGTCATACTGGAATGTTCACCTGCATGTGACACTGCTGCTTAATCTTTTATTGCTTATTTTATTGAGATAAAATATATACAACATAAAATGTACCATTTTAAACATTTTTCAGTGTTCAGTTCACTGGCATTGAGTATATAAACACTGTTGTGCAACCATCGACCTCCAACACTTTTTTTCATTTTCCCAAACTGGAATTCCATACCCATGAAACACTAACTCCCCATTTTCTCCTCCCAGCCCTGGGCAACAGCCATTCTACTTTCTGTCTTTATAAAGTTGACTATTCCTGGTACCTCACATAAGTGGAAACATGGGAACATACAGCATTTGTCCTTTTGTGACGGGAAGACTTCACTACACCCTCAAAGTTCATTCATGTTGTAGCATGTCAGAATGTCCTTTTTAAGGCTGAATAATATTCCATTACATGTGTGTATGGATACACATACACACCCCCATATTGTTTATCTATGCATCCACTGATGGACAGTTGTGTTGATTCCACCTTTGGCTATTGTGAATAATGTGGCTAGCTAGGAACAGGGATGTACAAATACCTCTTCAGATCCGTTTTCAATTATTTTGTGTCTATATCCATGATGGATCATATGGAAACTGCATATTTAATTTTTTAGAGGCACTGCCATACATATTCTATGTGGTCATTCCATTTTTGTATTCCTACCAGCAGTGCACAGGAATTCCAATTTTTCCAGATCTTCACCAACACGTGGCAGTTTTCACAGGGCGTTTCAGCTACAAATACATTTCACTACTTTAGACTCGATAGTTTCCCTTCTATATAACCGTTATCCCACAACTAGAGTGAAAACTTAACTAGGGACCTGGCAAGGTAACTCGGTTGGAAATCTTCCTTTGCGACACATGCAGAAACCAACCAACTGGATCCATGTTTTCCTCTCTCAAATCAGTAAGAAAAGGTTCCTATTATAACAAAAACCAAAGAGTAGTGAGCCCAAACACCACAAGTTATACCCACGAACAAAAGAGAAACCCTTAGAGAGCCACGTAACTGTTTGCACTTAATTTAACCAAAACGAAGCAAGACGACTTTCAAGAATACTTTAAACGCAAAATTCTACCTTTACAAAACCAAGTTATCAGGGGAGAGCGCGAACGCAGTCCCCCACTACCACAAATTATGCAGTCGAGTTTCCCACATTTGGGGAAATCGCAGGGGTCAGCACATCCGGAGTGCAATGGATAAGCCTCGCCCTGGGAAAACCACCTTCGTGATCATGGTATCTCCCCTGCCAGGTAAGTATGAGTTGTTGGCTTTGCCTGGCACGTCACCATTATCTTCAACACACTTTAAAGTCATGGTTAATTATGTTGAGAGTCCTTTTGCCCTTCGGTTCTAAATTGCAGTGTTATTTATATGACAGAGACTAAGACACATTCTTTTGGGTGCCCAGAGGGAATTTTGTCCCGTTAATACACTCGAACCAGCAGTCACCGCGCTGCTCATCTACATATCCCCGCCTCTGATCACTCTGTCACTCTGATACTCTGATACTTGAAGTAGATACGTCCGCTCCGACCGTCCGGAAGACAATCGTCGCTGGAGATAGTGTTCAGTTCTCGCCTTTCCGGGCACAGGTCCTGGCGAGGATCTGTTATAACGAGTGTTCCGTCTGCGCTGCAGGGCAGGGCAGTTTGGGAGGTAGAGGTTCCAGGCCCGCAGAGGGGAAGGCAGCACAGTGGTTAAGCCGGAGCTGAGTTGCGCCTCCATTCCCGGCCTAGATCATAACCTGTCTCTATGTCTCTGTTTCCCCAGATTGTAAAGAGGGAGTAATATGCCCGCCCACCTACCAAGGCTTCTGTGAGAACTGAATGAGAATGTGTGTAACAGGCAGCCTCAAGCACCGTCACCCCACCCGGGCCATTCTACTCCTTGGGCAGGTGCCCTGTGTAGATGGGGGACCCGAAGCGGGCTTCACCCTGACTAGTATGCGGCTCTCAGCATAAAGGAAAGCAGCATTCACCCTGGATTTGGTAAGAAAATGAATGTTTCCCCCTTCTTTTTAGAGAACGAAAATAGATGACACCTATTTTCTTTTCTGCCCTTTTGGCTAGATCTGGGCAAAACAACTCTGCAGCAACTGAGCATCAAAGGTTTTGGTGGTGTATGTAGAGGCAAAACTACCTCTATCTGTTAGGGTCTCTGGCTGAGCCTAAGAATAAAATGGGCAGATACAGTTTAACAGTATAAAAGCACTCACATTTATTTAACCCAAGTTTACCTGACACAGGCGCCCTCATGAAAAAATGAAACCCAAATAAGTGGCAACACCTAAATAATTTTATATTAGGTTGAACAAAGAAAGGCAATAGTGAAAAAGTAACATATATAGGGAAGCTAAAGGTAGATCAGAAAGTATCTTTTACATGGGAGCTTTATCTCCTGCTTTCAGGAAGAAAGAGATTGGTCAAGAACCTTCTTCATATGTCTGGCATTTTTCAAATGCTTTTAGCTCAAAATAATCCTTATACCAAAATGGCATACTTTGGGGTGGCATATTCTGTAACCCTTCAGGCTATTTCCCTCTTAGCCACATAATTTTTTTTTATATATTTTTTATTGATTTTTTACAGAGAGGAAGGGAGAGGGAATAGAGTGTTAGAAACATTGATGAGAGAGAAACATTGATCAGCTGCCTCCTGCACACCCCCTACTGGGGATGTGCCAGCAACCAAGTTACATGCCCTTGACCGGAATCGAACCTGGGACCCTTCAGTCCGCAGGCCGACGCTCTATCCACTGAGCCAAATCGGTTAGGGCAAGCCACATAATTTTTAAATTTTTTTTTCTTGCTTGTTTTTTTTAAATGATTTCAGAGAGGAAGGGAGATGGAAAGAGAAATAGAAACATCAATAATGAGAATCATTGATTGGCTGCCTCCTGCACCCCCCTTCTGGGGATCCAGCCTGCAACCTGGGCATGTGCCCCGACCAGGGATTGAATCCATGACCTCCTGCTTCATAGATAGATGCTCAACCACTGAGCAACACCTACCCGGCCTAGGCACATAATTTTAAAAAAAGCTTTGTTTTGTTTTATTTTGGATGGTATTTTTCTTTCTTTTTCTTGTATGGTATTTTTAATTATTACAACAGTGATAACTTTCCCATGCAGATAATTAGGAAAAGACAAAAGTGGCTTTTAAAAATTAAAATAAATCACAATCCCAGTAAGAAATGACTACTGTTAATATTTTGATATTATAAATGGTAATTCTAATTCTTTATATATTAACAGGATTATACTTCATACCTGTTTTGTAACATTTTTTCATTCCTTTGCTATATATTGTCATAATTTATATGATCAATATTCTGCTGCTTCCAGTCTACTGCCATCATATCTACATGTATCTATCACTGCAATGAGCAGACTTGTAGATGTGACACCTATTTGTGAATAATTAATAATGACTCCAGCCCTAGCCGGTTTGGCTCAGTGGATAGAGCGTCGGCCTGCAGAACAAAAGGTCCGGGGTTGGATTCCAGTCAAGGGCACATACCTCGGTTGCAGGCTCCTCCCAGACCCCAGCCTTGGTCGGGGCTCATGCAGGAGGCAATCCATTGATGTATTTCTCTTACATTGATGTTTTCCTCTGTCTTTCCCTCTCTCTCCCACTCTCCCTAAAAATCAATGGAAAAATATCCTTGGGTGAGAATTAACAACAATAACAAAAATAAATAAATTAAAAAATGGTCCCAGCTGGATAGCTCAGTTGGTTGGAATGAAATCCCAATGGGCCAGGGCTGTGGGTTCAATCCCTTGTTGAGATGCATACAGGGGCAGGCAAGGAGTGCATGCATGGATGGAGGAGCAAGTTGATGTTTCTCTCACAAATCAATGAATAAAAAAGTAAAAATTATAATTAATGATTTTTAGGGTAACTTCTAGTTGTTTCCCCTATTATTTTAATACTAGAGGCCCGATGCACAAAATTCATGCAAGTGGCTCGGCCCTTGCAGCCACGACGGCTTGCCTTGGCCCCAGGAGCCCTGGCTGTGTCCGAAAGGTCATTCGGCTGTCTGGTCTAATTAGCATATTACGCTTTTATTATTATAGATGTCAGGCATCTTAAGAAGTGCCTTAAATTACTGGGGTGAGTAGAGGTGACATATAAATATTTAAAAATTTTTAAGAAACTACTTACCCTGATTCCTTTAATCTTTCAAAGTCTAGATTCTTTTTTTTATTTCATAGTCCATACTTAATTATAAAAAGAATTTCAAGTTAAGAATGAGAGGGAAGCCCTGGCCAGTGTGGCTCAATCGGTTGGGCATCATTCTGTGCACTAAAAGGTTGCTGGTTGGATTCCGGGTCAGAGCACATGCTCAGGTTGCGGGTTGGATCCCCAGGAAGGGGCGTGCAGGAGGCAACTAAGGCAGATGTTTCTCTCTCTCCCTTCCTCTCTTTCTAAAATCAATAAAAACATATTCAAAAAAATAAAGAAAAAGAATGAGAGGAAAGACTAAATTGTATAGTATTGTATGCATAAAAGAGCAGCATATGAAATTGAATGTATACTATTGATTATAATGGTATTACTCTGATTTAAACTGTTTCTAAAAAGGCAAAGTTTGAGAAACTTAAAGGAAATATACCAAAATGCAAACTAACATAATTTTGTTAGTGTCAATAAGAACTATGGACTAATGTTTCCCCCCTCATAAATATTCTGTAACATGACTTTATTACTTATAATAACATTTAAAAATGTAACCATAATTATATACATCTAGTGCCAAAATATGTTCACACCTTTTGACCTAGAAATTTCTTTTAATTGGCCTAAAGGAAGTAATTCTAGAGAAAGACAATGTCCTACACACAAGGGTATCAATCACAGATTTACCTATAATTGCAAAAAAAACCAAAAAACAAACTAAAATCACTCTCAAACTCTAGATATCAAAGTAACAGAGAAGTGGATTATTTACCCAAGATAATAGTAATATAAAAAACAACATGAAAATTTTTTTTATAAGGTTAACAGGAAAAAAGTAGATGAAATGATATGTATACGATGACTGCAATTTTGTAAAAATATGTATCCTTAAGGAAAATTACTAGAAGAAAGTACATTAAAATGATGTTACAGATTGTAAGATACAGGTTACAGATTTACAGACTTTCAATAATATCAGACTATATTTTTCTTCAGAATGAGGGACCAAATCTGAAAGCTATTTTGCATAGTATTTAAAGTTTGAAGATAGGGTTTAGCATCAGATAGACATAGCTTCAAACTGATTTTTACCATCTTTTAGTTGTCATTGTTTTAATTTACCCTCCAGGAATGAAGACATTATCAGTAATTATTACTGTAGTTGCTTGTGCCCCAGAATAAACCAACCAACTACAGTGACCAAGTCAAAGACCACAAATAAGCCAATATAGAATAACAACACAGCCCCTGAGCACAATAATTATTTGAAGAGCTCCTGCACACCTGGGTAAGGATAACACTGGCACACCCACAAACCTTTCAGATCACTGCTACCCTGCCAATTCAGGTTGTATTCCAACAAACACTGCTCTTTAGGGTGTCTTCCAGCCACTAATCAGAACCAGTTAATAAGCACACTTAGCCTTTTGTTTCTTAGCCTTGTCTAAGTAAGCTGTAAATCATAGGCCATAAAAAAGAGTGTCACGAAACAGAATTCACTGCTGCCTAGGGAGGAAAGACAAAGCCAGTATATATCTGTTATTCACACACATAATCAGGGGAGAGCGCGAACGCAGTCCCCCACTACCACAAATTATGCAGTCGAGTTTCCCACATTTGG